CTGCGTTTTTTCTGATCTTACGAAGAACTGCTCTGCTTTTCTTCTCTTTTTCTTTAATATAGAGATTTGCTCCTGTAATCATGTTTGTGAACGAAATTTTATAAAAATTATATTGTTGGAATCGCCTTTCAAAACCGATTCTACAACATATCTCTGTTTTCGATTTCTGCAATTTTCAATCTCAAAGATCTCTACATTAGGATCTCGAGTTTCTGATTTTACATGGCTGCAGAAACGATTTTGACTTGAAACTGATACAGGAGAATCTCGACCTTTAGGGCTATTCAGAACAGTTTTCAGATTTTCAAAAATCGAACTTTTCATTTTGCAGGATCCTGACATATTTGGATTTCGAGATTCGAAGTTAGGGATCTCGACATCTTGAAGATCTCGACATTCGGAAAGATTTCGAGATTTTAGGAATTTCTCGATGTTTTAAATTTTTCAAAGTTTGGAGTTTCTTGAATCATTGATTTCTTCTAAACTTGATATCTTTCCTGTTCAGAACACTTCGAAACTTTACATTATAGGATTTTTGGATGAATCTCCGTTTTTCAAAGTTATTAGAAGTTTTCGATGTTATGATGTTTTTCAAACAACAAGTTTTCGATTTTCTGAGGTTTTCGAAACTCCAAAGTTTTCGATGTTCCAAACATTTTGAAATTCTGAAGATTTCGAAGTCTGGAGGTTTGTTTTGCAGGTGGATTTCATCATTATTCTTCGAGGCAAACTCGAGATTAAGATCTCGAGATTTAAAACTCAAGATTTAAATTTAAACCTTGAGATTGTAATCTCGAGATTTAAATTTAAACCTTGAGATTGTAATCTCGAGATTTAAAACTCGAGATTGTAATCTCGAAGTTTAACCTCGAGATTGTAATATCGAGATTTAAATCTCAAGATTTAAACCTCGAGATTGTAATCTCGAGATTTAAACCTCGAGATTGTAATCTCGAGATTTAAATTTAAACCTCGAGATTGTAATCTCGAGATTTAAAACTCGAGATTAGGATTTCGAGGTATTGCCTTAGAATTTTCCTTAATTCCACCTGTTCTCGATATTCAACATTGAGAACCTCAACTTCGAAGAAATTCCTCAAAAACTCAAAAAATTCGAGATTTTCTGCGACACCACACTGTTTTGGCCATAACTTTTGGCTCGGTGATCCGATTTAAGCAAACTTTTTTTTTGTTGGAAAGCTAACTAAAAGATCTACATCTATTATCGGGATATGCCAAAGAACCCATTCTCACGCGCCCTTACTCATAGTCCTTGAGGGTCAAAACGTTAGTTTTCAGACAAACTTTGTAAATCACTGATGTCCAGGTCAAAACTTAGGCAAATCTGTTCAAATTCTTCCAATGTCAAACCTAAGGTCTAAGCTGAAATGTAGAGGTCCGAAAATCGTAGATAATTCAATCAACCTCGCATCAATGGTCATCTTACAACAATCAACAATCAACTACTGAAGCGTCCCCTAACTCATCAACATTGTGTGATCCTCAAACATGCTGAAATTCCAAATGATGAGCTTAGGGAAACCGTCATGTGTGGTACCTGTTCAGATTGCTCCACACACATGGCGGGTATGACGATATGTGAGCAATAAAACCTTGCACATTCTGAGGGGGGAGTTTCAGTTTTCTCCTCCTGGGACCTTACACCGACAAAACAAGGAATCTCTCAACGGATGCAACATTTTAGGGGGAGTGTTACAAGAGGAATAATGGGCCGAAATACATTTGTGGCCCATATTACACATCTAAATAATAACTACACAAATACAAATATATTTAACTAGATTGGACACCATAAAATATTCCCAACACGGTGGACGACCGAGCAATCCCGGTCCGGTCCGACCAACGACCTGATGGTCCCGATCCGGTCCGGTCGATGATCCGGTGGTCCATGTCCGGTCCACGACCTGACGATCCCCCGTCAAGTCCAGTCCACGACCCCACGACCCCTTTCCGGTCCGGTCCGATTCACGACCCGGCAGTCCCTATCCGGTCCGGTCGATGACCTATCGCCCTATCGGACTTTGTCCGGTCCCACCGATTACCCGACGATCCCTGTCTAGTTCGATCCACGATCCTAGCTGTCACTGTCTGGGCCGGTCAATGATCCGTTGATTCAGTGTTGGTTTTTTGAAAATTCATTTTTTAAAGTGAAAAGTTTTAAAAGAGCGCTGAGTTGTCAACCAATAGGGAAATGAGAAAAGAATTCATCAAACTAATCGTTGAGATCGACCGGGACCGGCCGGATTTGGTCCCGACTTTCCTATACGTAGGATCTGGTACCCTACTTGGGTTGTACTATGTTTGATTTCGGAATGAGACCGCACTTTCGGTCTTCTGGACGATCACAGAACCGGGTGAAAAAATTTGATGAACATGTTTCCAGATTTGAAAATGGAAAAATAAAAAATGAAAACAGAAAAATGGAGATAGAAAAGCTAGAAAATGAAAACAGAAAATTGGAGAACGAAAAAGAGAAATAGAAAACTGGAAATATCTCTGTTAGTAATTAGGCCCTAATATTTTATACTCCCTCCGGCCCCCTAATATTGGTACGGAAGGGTGTGGTGTGGTTTTTAAGAAAAGTAGATTTATGTGGTTGGTAATGAGTTGATAAAGTGCAAATAAAGTAAGAATGAATTAGAGCCATACAAATGTTACCAAATATGGTATAGGACAATAATAAAGGGACATCCAAAAATGAAAAAATGGGACAATTATAGGGGGACGGAAGGAGTACTATCTTTGTCCCAAATTGTTTTGCAAAGTCAAGATTTTTTGGTCAACCAATGCTAAAGTTAAGCCCCCCTATTGATAAATTATTTATTTTTAATAATTAAAATTTACATATTTAGAAAATACATTGAAATTTCTTTAAATTTGCAAAATCCAAATTAAAATTTAATTAAGAATTGATATCCTATTTAAATAAATAAAATGAAATTTTTTGACCCGAAAAAGTCAAATTTACAACTCAAGTTAAGAGGAAAGAGTAATAAAGAATTGTTTGCCAGGTGGCAACAAGTTATTGAATAAAGAGTCATTTTAATATTGATATATATTTTCTCAGAAAAAATTATTGATATACTCCGATATATTATTGGGGTATGCCGTGTGTCCTACGTCTAAAATCATAACATTTTTTTTACAGTAATAACAATTTTAATTACAAAAAATTGAAAGGGTTACAAAAAGTAATAATTAGGGGTGGACATACAACCCAAACCGAACTGGTGCCGACCTTACCCATAATGATACCGAACCAAATATTGAGTATTTAAACGGTTCTATAAATTTCTATACCGAACCGAAACCGTACCGTTTGAAATGGGTACGGGACCGGTCTTGGATTTTTCGAATCGAAAATTATCGTACCGGGCCGTTCAAAAATAATGCATTTGAAACTTTTATGTTGTTTTCCATACCAATAAATCTATTTTATAGACCGACAATTTTATGGACCACCAATTTTATAGCCCAATTATGTATTCATGTGTTCCTAAAATAACTAAATGTGTGTGTTTATTATATTGTTATATTTTCTTAATAGATAATTTATGTTATATTTTGGTATGTATTAAAGAATGTTAAAGTTTTAAAAATCATTAAAGACTATTCATTTCTAGTAATGTAGTTATATGATTTTTTGTCGTATCATGTTTGTGAAATTTTACAACTTAATTAATACGCTTCAAATCTTAGCTCACACCGTTCAACCATAAATTAAATTAGAACTAATATTTAACCTAGAACAAAGAAGAAGAACGTTTACTTTTCCTATTATATTCAACAATTTGATGATATTCTTTTTATATTTTCACATGAACTAGTAAATTAAAGATGATATTTATCTCGTGTATCATCATTTTTCTATACTTTTTCATAGTTGTGTTGCACTATTTTCTACATATGCATTTTCTGGTATTTTTTACTTCAACATTTCATGTGAGTTCGTTGATGCGATAATATCTACTAATTGCAGGATTTGTCCACTTTTTAGTATGTGCTTGACATTATATAATACCGTTTTGTACCGTTCCGAAACGACATGGAATGGTTCCATCCTTAGAATCAGACCGTACCAGACTGTTAGAAATCTCACGGATACATTACAAGTTTTAATAATTTATCAGACTGTTCCGGACCGCGCCCACCCCTAATAATAATGAGGTGCGCCGTGCGCAAAGCAACCCTATGCAAAATATAGAGCCTGTTTGGTAACCCTAATGAATTGTTTGATTATGCTGAAATTTATGAAGTTCTGGATAAAATGGTTGTATTGGTTGATTCTGCTGATTAATTAAAAAATTATATTTAAAATATATTTTGTTAATAAAATAAAAAAAAGTATACTCCCTCCGTCCCTAAATAAAAACATCTGTTTCCTTTTCGGGCCGTCCCTAAATAAAAGTTCCCTTTCCTTTTTTGGCAAACAAAACAATGCGAAACAGTGCCAAACAGTATCCAACCAGTGCCAAACAATACCAATCATCCTACTTTCTTAAAATGCGTGAAAGACAAATGGATACTTTTATATAGGGACAGAGAGAGTACTACCTCCGTCCCAAAATTAACTTCCCGTTCGGTTTATAATGCTTGATCGACGATAAAGCAACTCGAACCCTGTTCACACTCAGATTATTTTTAGTAAATAAAATTTACATATTCAGGAACTACATTAAAACCGCTACAAAGCCTGATCAAGAAAATTAAAGTTTGATAAAAATTTGATGTATAAAATAAAAGATTATGAATGATTCAAGTTGACCAAAGAATAGTGACTGTGAAGTTGTTTTTGGGACGAAGGGAGTATGAAAAAATAGCTAAAACAATCATTTACAGTAGTTTCAGCCAATACAGTCAAAAAACTAATTTCAATCTTACTTTTTTTTATTATTACATAATTAATCGCGCGAAATAAAAAAGTTACGTGTTCCTTTAAAAAGGTGGTTCATAAGTGATAAGCCGAAAAACTAAGTTAGAAAATGGACTCACAATTTTCTCAAAAAAAAAAAAAAAAAAAAAAAGAATTATTTTCTCAAAGGAAGATGCCGTGACATAAAAGAGCAAACGAATATATCACAGGTTGCCTTTACCAAATTGATTCTGCCGTCACTTCTGTGAATCATTTACCTTCGTGAGAAGCTATCCATAAACGACCGGTGTTGGACTCGCAGTGTCTATTGTGGGATTCCCGTACCTTTTGCCAATCTGCAGCTTCCAATTTCTACCGGAATTCAAAGGTACAATCTTTTTCTCATTCAAATCTTCCTAACGTATTTGCTACTTTGCTGCTAATTCGGATCGTTCCAAGATCGCCCCCTGTTGTAACGAGTTCGGAGGTCGAGATTCATCTATTGACCTGATTTATTTTACTTTTGAATGTGTTGGTACTATTATATTGATTATTGGAATGATTTTCTGCCAATTGATGCTTTTTCCTGCACTTTTGGCAAAAGATGATCTTGAAACTGGGGATGCTGACGAGAACATTTAAATCAACATATATAAATGAATTTCTACATCAATCAATGAGTTTATTTTTATCTAAAATTCTAACAAAAGACGGCAAAGATAAAACTAATGTATAAAATAACTGTTCTTTTTATAGATTATATCGTTTATTTTTATTATATATATATATATATATATATTACAAAATAATTTTTTATCAAAAATTAATGATATACTCCGGTACTTTTCAACAGGAGTACAAGAGTAATTTACCATTCAAAACTTACCAAAAATGGAAGTATGAACTTGATTTTGGGACATCCTAAAAAGAAAATAATTAGCACTCTTAAATGACAATTTAATTCTCAAAACGAAACAGACTACTATCTTTACCCAATTGACGAGAGGTTCGACTCACCACACAAACTAGGGCAGCTCTTCAACGTTTCAAATTGACTCATCCGGAGGAAACGACTTACAGGCCTTATCTCAAGAGGGCCATCAGGTTTCATAACAGATACAATAGATCCCTATCAGCTTCAATTGGAATCCCCTCACAAAATTTCAATTGTTGATGTATTTTTCTATTTCCTTTCATTTCCTTATGCTCCATCATTTGTAATCTCAATTCCTTGTACTCAAAACTTTATTTAAATAAAAAAAATCATCAATCATTAAAAGTAATACAACTATAACATCACACTTATCATCAATGGCATCATTATATTATAAACCTGTCAAAATTTCTTCTGAAAAAATACCCAAATAACACTTATTTAATTATTGTCTAAATAACTGTGTCATTTTTCAACAAGAAGCTTAAGCCGGGACGGAAGTAGTACTTTTTACATCTATTAATGTTACTTATTTAATTTGTAATAATTAATGTTGATACTTTTCATTTCTTCTCTTTGTAATGTATTTCAATGGATTAGAGTTTATAGACAGTTGAGTTATTGTATGACTGCACAGAAAAAAGTCACGGTTCATATTTTTGAGTGCATGAGTGTTTATCTCCATGCTTTCTGACAAACTAGGATTTTTAGAAATGAAGTTGCTGAACTGAACTTCAAAGAGTGATAAGTAACGGAAGAATCCAAGAAGAAATTAGTAGTTTATTAATGAAAATTTAGTGAAGGAATACAGAAAGTCACGAAAGGAAAGGTTTGAGACTCTTTGAGTGGTCTCTCACTCCCAATATCCCAGTCCTGATCCCAAGTTCTTCCCCCTCATCTACTCACCACTCACCCTTATTTATTCTATTTGTAATGGGCCAGCCCACTTCTAATAAGTTATAGGGCCTAAAGCCCTAAACCCTATTATTGAACAAAATTAAAATGACTTAATAAGGCTCTAATTATTGGTAGTGTTCAGGTCCCTAACATCACTCCCCCCTCGAACTTCCACCTTGTCCTCAAGGTGGATGATAAGAGACTGATTTGACATTTGCTTTCAGCAGGTTTGCAGCTTCATCCCGTTCATCTAGCTGATCTTCTGTTCCCTGCACTTCTTCTGGCTCTTCCATCAAGATAAATTGATAATGTTTCATTCCACAAACATGTTATTTGCTCCATTTGTTTCCACATTTGAAACATAAGCCCCTTTTACTTCTTTCCTCTAACTCTAATTGTGTCAACCTTTGGCCTCCCTCCCATGTCTTATTCGGTTTCGGTGATTCCTCCAGTTTGTTCTTTGAATGTGTTCTCTCCAGAGTCACACCAGATGTTCTTCCCTTTGTTGCTTCCACCCAGTTCCAGGGTCTAACCATTTTCCCTCCTTGTTCCTTCCAGCCTTTTTTGTCTTCTTCTTTATTTTGTTCTCCTTTTGATGTCATGTTTTTCCGTTCAACAAGCAGGGCTTTGTCCATGAGATCAGTTAACCCACTGGTTTGGTACAACTTCAGCTCTGTGCTAATTTCTTCTTTGAGACCATGGAGAAATACTCCTTTTAACATCTTTGGGTCAGCAATTTTGAGGGGAGCTACAACCATTTCAAAATGATCCCTGTACTTCATTACTGAATTAGTTTGCTTACTTTTGAGCATCGGACCAAACGGGTTCTGAGCTAAATCCGGCTGGAAGCGTCTGATACTCTGATCAAAGCTTCCTTAAAATTACCCCAGGCATGGTCATCGGTCTGTTCATCCCACCATTGGTACTAATTCAGAGCTTTTCTGGCCATGGCTATCAAGATTATTTCTACTTTATCCTCTTCTGCCACATGGTTGAGTTTGAAATAACGTTCAACCCTGATAAGCCATCCATATGCATCCTCTCCACTAAACATAGGTATATCCACCTTTCTTACGGTATAAACCCGGTCGTTAATTCTTGTATGCTCAGGAGCACGAGAAAGGGATTGAGAATCATGAGGGTTACCTCCGGAATTGGACGAACTCACGCTGGCAGAAGTCTGGCGTCAACGATTGGTGGTCGATCGTCCTCTTCTTCTCTTGTGACTGCCCTGGACTTCGAGACTTTGCATTTTCTCTAGCAACAACTGTACTTTTTCGTCCATCAAAGCTTTCATCTCAGCGTGCATATCGGCCATAGATCGCTCCAGCGATATCTCCAAATTATTTATCCGCTGCTCCATGTTCGATCGAGTGAAGACCATACAAAGGTGCAGCGATCGTAGGCTTTGATACCAATGATAAGTAACGGAAGAATCCAAGAAGAAAGTAGTAGTTTATTAATGAAAATTTAGTGAAGGAATACAGAAAGTCACGAAAGGAAAGGTTTGAGACTCTCACTCCCGATATCCCAGTCCTGATCCCAAGTTGTGCCCCCTCATCTACTCACCACTCACCCTTATTTATTCTATTTCTAATGGGCCAGCCCACTTCTAATAAGTTATAGGGCCTAAAGCCCTAAACCCTATTATTGAACAAAATTAAAATGACTTAAGGAAAAAGGGGCAAATAAGCCCACGTACTAACAAAAAAAGGTCAAATAAGCCCTTATATATGAGGCTCTGTCCGGCCGTTGCCATTTGGGGCAGTTCCCGGTGGATTTTTTTGATGATTTTTTTGAGAATCTTATTAATTAAGTCTAGTTTAATCATATCAAATTTCAGCTAACAATTCAATTGGGAAGGCATTCAAATAAATTCTTGAAGATAACTGCGCTTTTAACTGCGCAGTTATCTTCAAGAATTCATTTGAATGCCTTCCCGATTGAAGTTTTAGCTGAAATTTGGTATGAGTAAACTAGACTTAATGAATAATATGCTCAAAAAATTGCATAAAAAATTTCCACCGGGAACCGCCCCAAATGACGACGGCCGGACATAACCTCCTATATAAGGGCTTATTTGACCTTTTTTGGTTAGTACGTGGGCTTATTTGCCCCTTTTTCCATGACTTAATAAGGCTCTAATTATTGGTAGTGTTCAGGTCCCTAACAAAGAGTTGTTGATATCTGTATATGACAGCCTGTGGTTTTCAGTTGTTTTGGAACTTCAGTGCTCCCTCCCTCATTTCTTATGCATGAAAAATTTGGTGTTTTGAAAAGATCCAGCTCATCAGATCATGACAAACTTAGTCACACTGTCATAGCATCTAAGTGGGGTTTTTTGCGGGACTTGGGCGGGATTATGTCAATTTAGTAAAAACACATAACATTTAGGTGTTTTGAGAGACTGTTTTTGGTTCATCCGAAACAGTCTCTGCGGGTGGGAGCCTTTGCGACACTATGATGATGACCTAACATTTAGGATAATACAATATGGAGTAGTGCAGATTAATAGAAAAGTAAAAAAAGGATGAAAACTTGCAAAGTTTGTGCAGTTAGGCTTTATAGTAATTGAAATAGCTCATATATTTTAAAAAGTTCATAATTATATTATGAATAATAAAAATTTAATAGAAAATGATAAATGATCAAATGATGTCGTTTAGAACTGAGCGGGAAAAGGGGGAAAACCCACACCGTCCCATTCTTAGATCTGAACCTCATTTGCATCTATTCAATTTCCAGGGACTTCATAGTGTCTCATGACTTGATTGATTGGTTTTATTTATTTATTTTTGGGTACTTTTTTTACTATATATAGTTTTCCTCATCACCTCTCTTAACTTAATTTCGTATTTGAAACTAGAAAAAAGAGTGATGGCGAGAAAGGATGGCATTGATATGTCAGATCTGAAGTCTGAATTGACTGAAACATATGCTAACATGCACCAAGAGATGGAAAAAAACCAATGCCAAGTTGAGACTTTGCAGGCAAAACTTGCAGAGGTAAAAGATTCACAAGAAGATGAAAAGAAAGAATTAGACGTTCTGTGGCAAAGAATCAGAACTGCCACAACATTGATGACAAACTTGAAAGTTAAAGCCGCAGTGTTAGCTGTTCCCCGTCTGGCCAGCATAATACGCGGTATCAAACAACAAGATGGAAATGGACTTGGTGAGCTGTCACAACCCTCAGATCATGAAGCACGGATCAATCTCCCAAGTGAACAATATCCTGTTCACGATAAAGATGAAGAAGTCTATATGAATGAGCTACTATCTTGTGTCCAAACAGTCACAGACATAGTGGAAACTCTTGTCAAGAGGTTAATATTGGCAGAGTCAGAAACTGCTCTCGAGAAGAGGAAGGTGACAGTTGGTGAGGAAGAGATTAAGAAAAAGACAATCCAAATTGAAAGCATGTCATTGAAATTGGAAGAGATGGAGAGATTTGCACTGGGGACAAACTGCGTGTTAAACGAGATGAGACAGAGAGTTGAAGAGTTAGTTGAAGAGACTCTTCAACAGAGGCAAAGGGCTGCAGAGAATGAGGAAGAGCTTTGTCGCGTTAAGAGAGACTTTGATTCTCTCAAGTCTTATGTCAGCAGTCTTATTAGCGTAAGAGAAACACTCTTGTCATCTGAAAAGCAATTCCAGACCATTGAAAGACTCTTTGAACGGTCAGTTTTATAAATACATTTACTTTTTTTGGTCTCTTCAACGTATGTAGTATTTTCATACTTAAAAGTGGAGGGTTTGCATAAATTAGTTCTCAAACATGTGGTGACAAAATCGTAAATGTGCGGAACTTTAATGTGCAACAGCTTATGATACAAAGTGCCATCTCACTCTTTCAGTCATGCATGTGTTTTCATAAATGAGTGCACTTTTCTAAAGTTGAAGATGTCTCTAATATTTTTAACGATGCACTTCTTGTCATTGCATTTTCTTTAAATATTCTTCGATATTGCAATTGTGTCACCGCATTTTGGCTTTAAAACCTGATCTCATCCTTCCATTTTTCATGTCTGTGGAAATATTATTTCACATCTTCTACCTAAGAAGCACTTTTTACTTGATCGAACTTATGCACATCTTTTATATATATAATTTTGAACAAGTAATCAGTGAGAACAAGTAATCAGTGTTATACTAGAAAAATCCAAGGTAATCACACTATCTCATTTTCTTGCGGAGATAATGTAATCTTACACTACCTTTTCTTACATTATTACAATGTAATTTAATATTTCAAAAGCCAAAAACACAGTAAGTTTTTGTGAAAACCATGCCGCCTTCAATCTGTTTGAATACTAAGTATTCTGTGTACACCATGTGTTTTGACTTTTGAGCTGAGCAGCTACCGTGAATTGAAAGGCTGGAAGTCAACACTTAAAAATACTTGACACTTAACATAAGAGTAAAAAATGAAGCAGACTACTCAACCTATTATATGCATTCCAACATGGTCTGAAGGAAAAATGTTTCTAGAATAAATAGACTATTTTAATTATTTTAATGTGTTCTTACGGCATAATCTGTGGTTCTTTTATTGGTTATGCAGGCTGGTAGAGAAAACAAGTCAGTTGGAGAGTGAGAAGATGCAAAAGGAGGCTGAAGTAGGAAAGCTTATGCAAGAGAACGTGAAGTTGACAGCTTTACTTGACAAGAAAGAGGCCCAACTCCATGCCTTGAACGAACAATGCAAGGTTATGGCACTTAGTGCTTCTCATTTTTAGTTTTGGGGTGTTGTCATCCTTCCAGCAGATCATTGAGGTGAGGGAGAACCCTTCTCTACCTTGTAGTTGTGTTTTTTTATTGGCTCGTTGGGCGGATCGATTCAACTAACTTGTCAAGGTTGTACCTTTAACTAATGAAGGCATTGTTGGTCCATCAAGTTTGGCATCTTTTGGGTATCATGTTTGATATTGGATATCCTCATACTCCCTCCATCCTTAAAAGGGTCCACCATTGATTTAGCAATAGAATTGTGCGGTAGATTTTTTTGCGAAGTATATAAAAGTCGAACTGCAATATTCTTTCCTTAACAAGAAAAAACTTTATTTCGGAACAAAAAGAAAATGGAGGCCTCTTTCAAGAATGGATGGAGTTTCACTTAATAAGGTGATCCTAGTATCTCCGTTTTTGTGCCCGTCATTGGCAGCTGACTTTATCATGTTTCGGGCTTTGTAGGACTATAGTAAGAGTTTCTTTGGGATGAGTGGATGAAATATGGTACATGTGTTTTTTTAGTTGAGCAATTAAATAGTATTCTTGACAATTTAGTTTATTATGGGCATGGCGGATTGCAACAAAGCAAAGATAAAGTACTTGAAGTCCTTTTAACTGACAAATTCCAGATCATTATCAGTTCGCATTCTTTTGATATTCTTCATAGTTTGATTTTCTATTAATGTCTTCCACTGCTTGAACTACTTGAAGGCTTCACTTTTATGCTTCTTCATAATTAGCTAAGTCATCCTTGAGTAGTTGTCAATCACAGACATAAATCATATGTGACCTCCAATGGATTCAACACGTGGACAATAATCAGAGTGAATGTAACCAAGCTTCCTATTTGTATGGTGAACACTGAACACCCTTTTTTTGGAAACTTGCTGCGATGAAGCTTTCCAAACCCACAATGCTCGGAGAGTTCAAGACTATGCATCTTGTGCCTAGAAAGCAAACCCCTCTCGACAAAATCTACATCCCTCTTTCACCCACCCATATTGCCAAGCCTAATGTGCCATGACCTGGTCATATCTTTGGTTTGAACTTCAGATGATGCAACAGGGGTAGAAGTGTAGAACCTTGCAGAAAATACAAAGTGACATGCTCCAAATTTGTTAGAATCACATTTGAACCATGACATACATACATAACTTCACCTTCACCTTTGAAATTGAAATCGTTGATGTCTAGAAGACTCAGTGATATCAAATTCTTTGTTATTAGTGGAGCATGGCTAGCTTCATTCAAGGTGCAAAAAGACCCATCATGTGTCCATATCCTGATTGAGCCAATTCCAATTACCTTACATACAACACCACTGGCCATGATAACATTGCCTCCGTCTATCTGCTCAAAAGTAAGAAAATACTCCATGTTTGTACGAATATGATAAGATGCCCAGAATCTAAAATCCACACATCTTTACAATGTGCTTGTTCATCTCCAATCAAGGCTAAATTTTATTCAGAATTTTGTGTCAGTTATAGTCACAGCAGTAAAACCAGAGCCTTCCTTCTTTCCTCGCTACTTTCCCCCCCGCTAAATTTTCTCAATGCTTTTAGAAAACCAGAGCCTTCCTTTTTCTCTACTGTAATTAAAGATGATATTAGGTTTAAGGCTTTTAGAAATTTTATTGTTCAACTTATTGTTACCTTATTTTCCACGTCCCTTAGTTGAACAAGATGCATATTAGCGATATTCTCTAGTGTAAAGAGCAGATCTTATATCTTTCAGTCACAACTTGTCTTTCCCAATGAGAATCCTCAAAATTCTCCTATTATTCGGGCAAAGACAGTAATAGAGTTAAAACTTCATTGTCATCATCTATTTTAACATCAATGTTACGTACATCTAACACAGTTTTATTTATCTACATAATTCCTGAGGGGGGATTTTCCTGCATACGTAGTCTGAACAAAGGTTGATTTGAAAACAACTTGTTGGTTCAAAACTTCATAATGTATACTCTCCAACATCAATCAAAGACCAACGACAGTATCTAGATTCTAGATTAGAGACCTCACGTGAGCCTTCTCCTCTAGAGTATTGTGCTGATATACTCTTCATTGTCTACATTAGCTTTCTTTGATTTCCCCGATAACGGCATGCGCAATCCCCGCTGCTTGAGCAGGGATCACATCTTGAAACATTTTGATCTCCCATATGCTGAAATTGTTATTCCTGGTGAATTTTCGAACCTTTATATTGAAAATAATCCATCTTTAAATCTTGTCGAAATCTTAATAGTGTGGAAACTTCAAAACCCTAATCGAACGATCAAACTTTTTGATACTAGTTTGTTATGACGGATTACAAGAAAGCAAAGAAAAAACAAAACGCAAAACAAGACAAACATAATGACCAGGTTCACCAATGTTATGGTGGCTACATCCACATGCAGAATTGGAGATAGTTTTTAGAACATCAGGTTACATAAATAATACACACAAAGTTTCACAACCAGAGTATATAGAGTACTTTAAGTAAACCCCAAGTGTACTGCGGCCCAAATTAAATTCACAAGCCCAAATTGATCATATCGTTAGGAATCACTCCATACCATCGGGCTATGGTGTCTTTGCCCCCGGACCACAAGTCACGAAGCACAAAGTACACCTAGACCCCTGACTCACTGACCCCACACTTTTACAAGCAATGCATGATCAAATTCAATGCATATTAACATATCTCCACCTTGACATTTTCCCTTCATATGCTTCTTTCAAGTAAAGGTACTTAGTCATCCTCCAAAAAAGTACTTATGGCTTTAAAGCAATTAATCTCAAAGACACTCTAAGGCCGGATACGAGAAAACATTGTAGACCAATGGCTTTTTGTCCAATTGGCTAAGTGAGAGGAATTAGGTTTTGAGACCCTAGGGTCACCGCTTCAAGTCCCTCCTTTGATGGAATCAGTTGCGAGATTGAAAGAGTGTCCTTAGCGAGCGATTACTTGGGAGCTGCTCTTTGTTAACATGTTATGAATCTCGCAGCCAAAGTGATTTCATGGTTTAATTAGAGGCAGTTCTGATTGATCGGGATTGTCTTATCAAGGACTAGTCCTTCTGATGCCTCAAACACATCCATTATTGAATGAGGGTATCACTTATACCCTCACTTAAAAGGGTATTTTAATCAAACCCATAGCATACCATGAACTTTTTTTTGTCCCTAGATATCCAGACTCACTTATTTTTGTAATAGTGGGTCCCACCTCCCTCATGTTTCATATCTCTCACCAAGAGAAAGTAGTTTCTTTCCCTTAATGGATTTCTTTTCGATTTCTATATACTCTTTTTGCATTTCTCTTCTACCAAACTACGCACATAGCCTACTATATATCTTTACAATTTATCTCATCTCCACATTGTTGTGTCACGCATTCCTTTCCTAAATGAAATTGTTTTCACATGCTAATAACTATACTTAAACTCTTTTTATTCATTCAATCTCCCCACAGATGACCTCAAGAGTATCTACTGGTTTATGTGAACACGGTTTGGGTTGGTTTGATGGATCGTACATGAAACTTACATTTAAAGGTTCTGTTCCTGAATTCTGTGTGCTTTGGACATGATTTTTTACATAATAAAACTACACTGCCGTCTGCTCTTCTATTTTTGGACCATCCCATTCCAGTAGAAACATTAACACAAACGATATCTAGTATGTAGCGAGTCTCAAATGGTCCTAAGGTCACAAGCTTTGGTTTTGTTAGTGGTCCCATTCACATGCTCGTTCTGAGATTATACATGCCGTTGTTGTTCCTGTAGTGGTGGACATAAATTGGGCCGTGGGGTCCCAGTCGAGGTCCTATCATTGGGATGGATGTGAACATGACCTTATATAGAGAAGCCTCAACAACGATCATCAAAACGGTGGTCTTAGTATAGTTACCACTGTTTATATGATTTTTTCATCACCCAAAAAAACCGTAGTTAATTTTTTTCAACTGTATTATGAGATTGGGGAACTCCAACATGAGATCATTTTTGGTATCATGCTTGTCCCAAGCCATGATAGAGGAAGGTGATGTGGTGGGCACATGACGATCAATAGTATCACTTAGTCAGATCACATTACATGAATCAGAATATGAATATCGCTACGGCTCGGTCGTCGCCCGTAAGCGACGCGTCATCCTTCCGCCTGGGTGGTATCAAATATGAAAGGATGCACTACACTTCATAGGTCTGAGTGTGGTGATAAAGATGCTAAGGTTGCTAGGTCATTGCCCACTCCAGTAACCGAGGATGGTGTCAAATATGCAAGAGCATGGTGAGGGTCGATGTGGTGTAAAGAATAGAAGGAAGGGTGCTAGATTGCACGTTGGGCGTGGAATGCTAGCTCTTTTACATGAATATCATCTGAGGTAGTCGAGGTTATGAGGAGGAGGAATATCAGCATTATGTTTTGCAAGAAACTAAGTGGCTTGGATAAAAGACACATGAGATTAATCCCGGAGGTTTTAAAGAATGAACACATCATGAACATGAAATTGGTAATAAGAGATGAGATCATGTCCGCGGTAAGTGTCTATGCATCACAAGTGGGATGCGATGCGATGCATCTATCACTCAACAATTTCGGGAAGATCTTGAAGAAATGGTGCGACGAGTGCCAATGGGAGAGGAGCTGGTCATAGGAGGTGACCTCATCGGACATGTAGGTCAAAGTCATGATGATTTTGAGAGTATCCATGGTGGACATGATATGAGTTGGCTGTAATGAACACTTGGTTCAAGAAAAGAGACTCTCACCTTATGACCTATAGCAGTGAAGCTAATTGTACCTAAATTGACTACTTCTTAGTAGGGACGACTTGGAGAATTAAGTTGCGACTGCTATCACTTAGCATATGATGCTTGTGCTTGATTTTTAAGGCAAGAAGAGAAAGCATGTTAAGCAGCAAGTGGATCCAAAGATAAAGTGGTGGAGGCTCAAGGGATTTCCAAAAAGTTTTGATAATGACGCACATGTGGATGATGTGAGGCTAACATAAAAACAAAGAATGCCATAAGGGAAGCGAGAGAGAAAGTGAAGAAGGAGTTGTATGTAAACCTGGACTCTAAGGAAGGAGAAATAGATATTTATAGACTTACTCGGCTTCGTGATCGTAGGATTCAAGATATTGGAAAAGGTAAATGTGTGTAGGGTGTTGAACAAAGGATACTAGTGGAGGATGAGAAAATAAAAGAGAGGTGTAGGTCATACTTTGATACCTTGTTCAACAAGAATAAATTGCAAGGTATTGACTATCTTACTATATCAAATTGTATGGTAAATCGAGATATTGTGAGAAGGGTCCAACAATAGATGTTAAAGAGGCTCTAAGAAAGACAGGGCAGAAGAAGGCAGTCAGTCCATGTGGTATATTAATCGAGGCCTAAAGAAGTTTGGGAGAGAGATGCATCGAGTGACTAATAGGTTTCTTCAATATGATTTGGAGAAACGATAAAATGTCATTGAGTTGGTGGAAGAGTACTCTTATTCCCCCTGTTTAAAAATAAGGGTGATGTATGATAATGTGCTCACTATCGAGAGATTAAGCTCATGAGTCAAACCATTGGACTTTGGGAGCGAGTGGTTGAGTAAAGACTCCGAAAAAGTGAAACTTTCGGAGAATAAGTTTGATTTTATGCTTGAATGCTCAATAACTGGGCC